GCAAATATGAAGACTTTGGACTGTTGTTTGACATCTGCCTTTACTAACTATGCCACTGAAATTATTACTAAAGGTATCAATGGCATCTTAGTTATTGAAATGATATGGCTTAGTAGATTTCTTTTTCTTTTTTTTTTCTGAGACAGAGTCTCACTTTGTTGCCCAGGCTGCGACTCTCCTGCCTCAGCCTCCTGAGTAGCTGGGATTAAGGTGCACACCACCATGCCTGGCTAATTTTTGTATTTTTAGTAGAGACGGGGTTTCACCATGTCAGCCAGGCTGGTCTCGAACTCTTGACCTCAAGTGATCTGTCTACCTTGGCCTCCCAAAGTGCTGGAATTACAGGCATGAGCCACTGCACCTGGCCAATGTATCTTGGTTGATTTCTTACATTACTTGATATCTGTAACATTTAACATTGTTAACTACTTAACAACACATTCTTGGTTTTCTCCCAACTCTAAGGGTGGTTATTCTTCTGTTTAAGGGATCTTATGATTAAAGTTTCTACATATCACCTTAAATCTCTGAAAAATCTGAAATCACTTCTGTATAAAGGTTTTCTTAAGGTCCAGTCTTTTCCCTTTTCACAGCAAGCCAAGAGAACTAGTGATGGAAAATCTTTTAAATTATGTGAAGCTGATTAGTGACACATAGAAGCTTTGCCTAAGCAGAGGTGGGGCAGCTGTGTCAATGATGCAGCTATGCGGGGGCTGAGATGGACTCTAGGAGCTGTTCCCTGAGACTTGAGAGCTCATCACAATTTCTCCACATCTGTAGATGCTGCAGAGGAACCGAAGGAGCAGCTGAGGTCAGCGGCTCTTCACAGCTCTTATGTTCACAACACAATCAGAGTTGTTTATTCTGGCATTCAACACTGTCTGACTCTGCTGAAACATCTCCTTTCCAAGGCTTTCCAGAAGGGCTGTCTAGGAAAAGGATGAAATGGAGTTGGTGCCGTGTGACTTTTAGTGGGATAATCCAATAGTAAGTGATTAGTCACCTATTGAATCTAAAGATAAGCAATTAGGATTTGGCTCTATTTTCACTAACTTACATGGATCCTCAGTGCTCTACCTTTAGATACTGACAAGAAGAAAAAGCACACATTTGTGAAGCTGGGTCCCTGTAGCTTGTGTGGAGGAAATGGTCTCACTGGGATGTTGTAAGCTGGGATCAGAGACCCAGGCAATAATTCAGATTCTTCTGCTTGATGATGTTGTGGATTCACTGTCACTGAGTTTGGTCCAAGAACCAGAAGAAGCTGAACATCTCCAAACATTCTCTTAAATGGAAGCATTAAGAGCAGACATTAAGTTGTTCTTGAGCACTGATGTAGCCCTAAGGATAAAAAAGCTATAGTGTGGAATTCATTTCCACACTTTTTATCCAGTGCTGTATTTTGGGCATTGTCATAAAGGACGCTGGACCATGGGAAGCTGTGCTGATATATATGGTTCATTTACACATGCTTTGTGGCCATCATATTTCCAACGTGATTCTATATTCTTGAGTAAATAAACTGACAACTCAAGCTAATCTTATACAAGTGTATATGTGTAACCTTGATACATCTCCATTGTCCACCTGAAACAATACAGCTTATAGGTATGTTCTGAAAATTAAAGTTGTTACAATTTGTTTATAATTATGTAATCTTTTTAAAGAGTTAGAATAATGTAAGTGCAGCATTAATATTTACTTGACTTTTTGTTTTTAAAGTACTTCACCAAAAGTTCATTCCTGAAAGCTGAGCTACATCTGGGCTGTTTCATGTTGTGGACTATGGAAGATCTGGTTTAAAACTTATTTTCATCACCCCGGGTAAGTCATTTATTCTTACAAAGATGTCATGAGAATGAGATCCCTCAAAACAGAAAAATAACCACTCTTACAGTAGGAGAAAAAAATGCTTAGGTATCTTAGGTGTGGGTGCAATGGTGATGGTAGTACTGGGGAAGGAAGTAGTGGTACTGGTAGTTAGCATAATCTTATGAAATAGTCATAGGATTTCATATATCCCTTAAGCATTTTTCATTTATCCCAGAGAAACGGTCAAAAACCCATACCCTTGCATATAAAACATTCAATAACCTAAGAAAAAAGGAACTTCCTCAACATGATAAAGACTACATATGAAAAAGCCAGAGCTAACGTCATACTCAATGGTGAAAAGACTGAAAGTTTTTCTCCTAAGAACAAAAACAAGAAAAGGATGTACCCTTCTGCTACTTTTATACAACACAGTACTACATATTCTTGCCACAGCAAGTGGGTAAGAAAAAGAAAGAGTATCTAAATCGGAAAGGAAGAAGCAAAACTATCTTTATTCACAGATGACACTATTTACATGTAGAAAACCCTAAAGAATGCACCAAAAAACTAGTTAGAACTAAATCTACAAAGTTGCAGGATACAAAATCAACACAGGAAACTCGGTTGTATTTCTATCCATTAGCAATGAACAATTTGAAAAGGAAATGAAGGAAACTATTCCATTTACAGTAGCATCCAAAAGAATAAAATACCTACAAATAACTTTAAGGAAGTGAAAGGCTTGTACACTGAAAACTAAAACATTGCTCAAAGAAATTAAAGAAGACATAAGTGGAAAGACAGCCTGTGTTCATGGATTGTAAGACTTAAAATTGTTAACATGACAACACTCCCTAAAGCAATACGAGGGTTCAATGCACTCTGTAACAAAATCTCAATGGTGTTTTGGGCAGAAATGGAAAAACTGATCCTAAAATTCCTATGAAATTTCAAGTGACCCACAATGGTATGTGTGTGCATACATATATATATATATATATATATATATATATGGAAAAAAGGAACTTTTTTGACTGAAACAGTACAGTCAAAAGAGTGAAAGGACAACCCACAGAATGGGAGAAAATATTTGCAAACCATCTATCTGATAAGGGCTTAATATCCAGACTCAATGAAGAAAAGAAACAATCCAATTTTAAAAATAGACAAAGGACTCAAATAGATGTTTCTTCAAAGAAGATACAAAATAGATAATAAACATATGAAAAGATGCTCAACATCATTAGTCATTAGGGAAATACAAATCAAAATCACAATGAGATACCATATAACAGCTACCAAGATGGCTATAATTAAAAAAAACAACAACAAGTGTTGCCAGAGATATGGAAAAACTAGAACTCTTGTAGATTGCTGGTGGGAATGTAAAATGGTGCCTTCACTATGGAAAACAGTTTGGTAGTTTCCCAAAAAGTTAAGCACAGACTTACCGTATGACTCAGAAATTCCACTCCTATGTATACATTCAAGAGAACTAAAACAACAGGTAAACAAAGAGATTATTATATGTAAATGTTCATAGCAGTATTATTCACAATAGCCCATTGGCTATTAATGAAAATAATCTAAGTACCCATCATCAAAGGAATGGATAGACAAAATGTGGTATATCCATACAATGGAATATTATTCAGTCATAAAAAAGGAATGAAGTTCTGATACACACTACAACATAGATGAACCTTGAAAACGTGCTAAGTGAAATAAGCCAGATACAAAAGGTCAAATGTCTTATGGTTCCATGAATACGAACTGCTTGGAACCGGCAAATTCACAGAAATATAAAGTAGATTAACGGTTACCGGGGGAGGGAGGAGGGGAACGGAGTTATTGCTCAATGAGAAGAGTTTATGTTTGGAGTGATGGAAAAATGTTGGAAATGGATAGTGGTGATGGTTGCCTAACATTGTGAATGTAATTAATGTCACTGAATTTACACTTTTACAATGGCAAATTTTATATTTTATCACAAATAGGGAAAGGTAAAGTTTCTACAGCCTCATGAAGAAGATCTCTTGACCTCGTGGTCCACCCGCCTTGGTCTCCCAAAGTGCTGGGATTACAGGCATGAGCCACCGTGCCCAGCCCAGAGTTAAGTCTCTCATTGGGCCCCTGATTTACACTCCTGGGCCCACAAAAATTATTTTCTATACAGTCACTAGAAAAAAAAAAAAAAAGAAATTAAGTACTCATCTAAAAACTATTTAAAAAAGAACAATGAAAGAAACCAGAAGAAACTAGGAAAAAATTAAGAAGAATGAAGTGAAAATTAATTAACTAGGGAATACAAATAGTAGTTAAGTAGAATAAGTCAAAAAGCTTATACTTTGAAAATACCTATAGATAAAACCTTTGTAAGACTGATTACAAAAAAAGCAAAAATTGACAAGATTAGTATCCAGAAATAAGACATAAACTCTGATATAATACATACTGATAGAATTCCAGGACAATAAATAGAGCACGCAGGTGTGTGACAGCAGATCTGAAAACACAGAGGGATGAATGATTTCCATTTGGTATATGGTGACCAAAATTGACCAAAGTAGACGTGAAAAACTGAAAGGACCAATTTCAGAGAGGAAATTACAGGAGTGGTTTGATGTATAATGGCAAAAACCAACAGGGAAGTTTGGATAAACTATTACAAATATCCTCTCAAAACTATATAAGAGATCAAGAGAAAGTAAGGGAAATTCCCAGGGACTGGAGGAGTAAGCTACAGCTGGGACTGAAGCTCTGGCTGTCCAGCTTGCCAACCTCAGTAACGAAGGAGTTTAAAATACAGTGACTGTGGCAGGACAGGACATAATCCCACGAGACTGCATAAAGTGGGGAGATGAACTGAGACCCTGACATGAAGCTGGGGCACCGGAAATGAAAAGGTAAATTAGAAAAAAAAAAAAAAAGAATCTTCCAAGAAAGCTCAGGTGTTTCAGCAAAGGCTCTAGGTGTGCTCTGTGTGTTTCTTCCCTATCACATGCTCAAGTCATCCCCTCAAGATAACTATTATCCTGGATTTTGTATTTGTGTTTACACAGAGTTCGGCTTGATTTTAAGTAAAAAATTGTATACTAAGGGAGTCTTCTGTGACTTGAGTTTTTCACTTAGTATTGTGTTTATACAAAAATTTAAACCCTATGTTTACTGATAACCACAAGGAATAACAGACACAATATTTAATTTTAAAAAGGAACAAAATATCGAAACCATCTATATACTGTAATGTACCTTGAAATCAATGCTAGGGAAAAACAAAGGGAAAACACAAAACTGCAATAAACTTCATCTTCTCTCCCAGGTTTTTCTTGAACAATTCCAACCCCCATTCCCTACTATGTATCCTTAACTTCGTTAGACAGTGAATGAGAAATTAATGCTAAAAGCCCTCAAATGAACCCCAGGGACATTTCCTGGGTTTTCCCTTCTCCCCTCTCCAACCGTGCCGCGAAGGGCAAGTCCCTCAGCCCTAAAGTCTGAGAAGGCCCACAGCGGTGGCTGCGGCAGAGGAGTGGGCTACCCCCGCAGAGTAGAGAGGTGTATAGTGGGGGATATCCATTGGGACCCCCAGTCCCAGGTGAAAGCACACTGGTGCCCCTGGGCAAGGAGGCCCGGCTGTCCCCACAACCTCCCGTGGGGAAGCATCATTGGTTGATCGACTGCCCATCTTGCTGCGGTTATAGAACCAAACTCGAACCACATCCTTCTGCAGCTGGAGGCACCCAGCAATGTGGCTGATTTGTTGGGGCGTGGGCTTAGGGCACCGCTGAAAGAATTTCTCTAGGCTGTTTCCGATTCGTCGCTCCCTGCTTGCCCGTCTCCACTTCCGAGACTGTTGCAGGATCATCTCCATTTTGCATAAGCCCAGAAGGTTCTCTGCTTCCACTTCTTCCAGCCACTTTTTCAGCAGTGGTCGCAGCTTCCACATGTTGGCAAGGCTTAGCTGCTGGGCCTCGAAGCGGCAGACGGTCGTCTGGCTAAGCACCTTCCCAAATAGAACTCCCACAGCGATCCCCACATCGGCCTGTGAGTACCCTAGGCTCAACCTCTTCCGCCTCAGCTCCTTGGCCAGCTGCTGCAACTCTTTCAGTATGCCCGAGACGTCCTCTGGCAGCGGCAACTTCGGGATGCTCCGCAGGGCAATGTAGGGCCCAGGGAGGGCGCCTTCGGAGGGGCTTCGCAACCAGTCCCCTGCCTCACCAGCTCCAAGACGGGGCCTGCAGGGTGCTATCCAGCCCCGGAATTCGTGTGGCAGGGGAGCCGGGGAAATCCTCCATACCTCAGGGTCTGGGCAGACCCCTGGCCTGACTGCTGGCCAGACCATCACCCTGCCAGGGGCCGCCTGGGTGCTCAACCAGGTCAAGGTGTCAACCCGCAGGGGCACTGGCCCTCTGGGGCCGCCCCCACCACTGCCTGGAAGGGGGAAGAAGTGGTTTGAGGGCCTGTGTCCGGCCATGGGTGGGATGGCACCCGCAGCAGCTCTGGTAGGAACTGATGGCCCTCGAGGCTTCAGAACAGCCACCGGCCCCCTCAAGCCCCGCCCCCCAGTGGGCGGAGAAGGCGTTACAGGCCAAGGGTGCCTGTGCATAGGAGGGAAATCTCGTAGATCTGTAGGAACTCCTGGGTCCTAGGGTTAAGGGAGTGAGCCCTCGACCCTGACCTTTGCTTCCAACTCCCATAGAGGTACAAAGCTCCCTTTTGGGATTTGCATCTCCAAGCTGTCTGGAGTCCCTTAGTCACTGCCTCCATCCTCTCCCTGAATAGAACCCAGGTATTTTCTTATGGCTCTTCAGAAACTCAGGACCCCTGATCCCCAGGAACTACCTAACTTCTTGTCTTCACAAATAATTATTAAATATTTATATGCCAGATATTGCTGGGACGAACCCTCAATTCATAAACTGCCCCCTCACTACTATCTTTATGGTCACAAGTACTGCCAATAGTTCCTCTTTGCACATCCCCAGTACCTGTGCCCTAAGAAACCTAGGCATCCCTGCTTGAGTTTCTAGTTAACATGAGTTTACTGCCTCAGATTCTACCCCCACCACTCCACCCCCAAACTGCCAGATTCCACTCCCTCACTGGGGCAGAACTTTGTAACTAATTCCATGTTTCTTCCCCCAGCCTTGAAAGTCCTTTTGTTTCCCATTCTAACCCAGCTTCTTGGTCCAGAGTTTCCTCAACCAACAGAGATCTAGGTGTGTGTCTTCTCTTTCCCACTCTAGAGACAGGTCTCTGAACTGGCCTGACCCACTGAGGATGCTCCCTGCAATATCTGACTCACCAACATCAGGCTCCTTTATCCTTGGGCCCTTATCCCACCAGAGACCCAATGATCTTAATTTGTCCCTCCATCATGCCCCTAGCTCAGGCATCCAGTTGTGGGCCCTGTGTGGAGAGAGCTAAGGAGGGGGCGGGTGGAGAAAGAGAAGCTCTGACCTCAGTTTCAAAGTTTCCAAAGAGTAAGAGCACAATGACCTTGGCTAGACAATCACAGCCCTTCATTCTTTAAACTAACCATGATGTGGTTCTGTCCCCACCCACATCTACTGAAATTGGTCTTCTTGAAGTCATCAGTGATTTTTCAACTGTCAAATCCAATGGCCTTTTAAAAAAATCCTCATCCTGCCGTATCTGCCAATGTTGACTACTCTTCTTGCTCCTTTTCCTTTTAAAATTTACATGAAATGCTGGTAGCAGCCAAATCTGTCTTTCAGTTCTGACTTCTCTTCTGATTTCCAGTTTTGTATTTTTCACTGCCCCTAGTCAAATTCATTATCAGCACTTCTAAACCTGCCTCCAATCCCGGGACTTTTGAGCTAGTTATCACTAACTCAGTCACCCAAGCTTAAACCTAGGAGCTGTTCTTGACTTTTTCTATTCTCCATAGGGTGTCAAATCTTATATACTGGGTCTCCTAAAACATCTGAAATCTACCATCTTCTTCCTAGCCTCATCTTCTTGGGCCCTTAAATACCTTTTCCTAGATGAAGGCAGAACATTGAGACTAAATTCAACCCAGCACTACAGGTTGTATTGTGTTGTGTTGTGTTGAGATTGCAGATGCGGCCTTGAAGCAATGGTAAAGGGAAAAGAATCAGAAAATTGGCTGCCATCGCTTCAGGCTGTGTACTTAGTTACGTGTCATCTGTATCTCTACTGCAACCCTTGCTAGAATGTGTGCTGGCTATGAGCAGGGTCATTGTCTGTCTTGTTCACTGCTAGATCCTCAGCACCTGGAACTATACCTGGAACACAGAAGGAAGTCAAGAAATATTTATTTAATGTTAAATAAATGAATCTCTGTAGCATTAATGGCAAAAAGACTTCCATATTTGCGTTTAATTAGATTTTAAGATGACAGTCTATAGAAAACAGCTTGCAATATACAAAAGTTCATTTAAGAATAACTTTGCTGGTATCTATTCTCTCGAGGTATACTTACATGCTATTTTTTTTCAAAATCACGAAGCAATCAGTATATGCCAAACAGAATGAAAGTTGGATCACAAAGAAGGATAAAGAAGAGAAAGCAATATATATGCTAAGGTCCACATATTGAAAACTGCCTATTTTCTTCTTCTTCTTTTGTTTTGTTTTGAGACGGAGTCTTGCTCTGTCACCCAGGCTGGAGTGCAGTGGCGCGATCTCGGCTCACTGCGACCTCTGCCTTACAGGTTCAAGCGATCCCTCTGCCTCAGCCTCCTGAGTAGCTGGGATTATAGGTGCCTGCCACCACGCCTGGCTAATTTTTTGTATTTTTAGTAGAGACTGGGTTTCACCGTATTAGCCAGGATGGTCTTGAGCTCCTGACCTCGTGATCCGCCCACCTTGGCCTCCTGAAGTGCTGGGATTACAGGCATGAGCCATTGTGCCTGGCCAACAGCCCATTTTCACAAGAAGGAAAAAGGTTCATTAGTGGTTTAAAAACAATAGTTGAATGAAAATATTTTTAATGAATTAGAAAACGTGAGTTCAAATAGATGTGAGCAAAGCTTTATTATATTTAAACAGAGTTAAAACACAGTGGCTACAAACATTTACTAAATTAAAAAGTAACACTGGCCAGGCACGGTGGCTTACACCTGTAATCCCAGCACTTTGGGAGGCCAAGGTGGGTGGATCACAAAGTCAGGAGTTCAAGACCAGCCTGACCAACATGGTGAAACCCCATCTCTACTAAAAATACAAAAATCAGCCGGTCATGGTGGTGTGCACCTGTAATCCCAGCTACTCAGGGGGCTGAGGCAGGAGAATCACTTGAACCCCGTAGGTGGAGGTTGCAGTGTGCTGAGATCGCGCCCCTGCACTCCAGCCTGGGTGACAGAGTGAGGCTCGGTCTCAAAAAAAAAAAAAAAAAAGGCTATATATTACCTTGATGGGTTTTAAGATTTACTTGGATGCTCTCACTTAAGGCTTTCTTTGTACTTGGTCAATGTGCATATCTACCAATGTGCATATCTCCCGGTTTATACGCATGTGCTGCTAAAAAGAAAAGCCCATGTTCTTAAGGGAAGTCTTGCCATTTCCTTAAAAGTATATTCAACTTCCAATGGAAATGGGGTTAGCAGGAAAAGGAAGCAGGAGCATGTTTGGTTAGAACAGGAATAGAGATCAGAGGAAGGCAGTTGCTGGGAATGCCCAAGACAACTGGTGCTGTTTGTGCTGGGGCATCTGAAAGGCTAATCCATCACCTTCAACAAAAAATCACTCTTAGTAAGTGATTAGATTAAAGTGTAAGAATCAGGCTGGTCTTATCCATGGGGAATTACAGAGTAAGGATGAGAAACACATGATTCCAGTCTCCTATATATTTATAATCTAAATGAGGGAGAAGAGAAAATGTCAGTAGAGCAGGGAAGTTGAGAAGTTTTCTATTATTGTGATCTTTGGAATCAAGGGTGGTTTTCTGAAAGAGTTGTTTTAAGCAGAAATGCTTAAAAATAAAAAGTATAAGGATTTTTATTATTAGGTTCTCCTTAAGAATTCCCTGTTCTAAGGAGACAAAGCAACTGCCATGATCCACAAATGATAGGAAGCAGGAAACAGTGGACACAGAGTTAAGAATCAACATTCTTGTAAGGTTTGGTTCAAGTTTGATAGTTTTGAGAAGTCTTGCCTTATACTCTGGACCACAGTGATATCCCTCCCCTCTGAACTTACTGCCATGTCCACTCACATACCTGTGCTGCCTTAAACAGCTAGAATTTTATGTCTTAGTTATCCAGCTAAGAGATATGGAACCTCCTAAATTCATATTATAGATATACGATTTATTTTGTACCTATGTGCCAAGTAACATGCTAATGCACAAGCCAGTCACAGTGCTCTGAGTATAGTAAGTCCATGAAAACATCTGGATGTGAAAGTAATCTGCTTTTTATGTCATTCTGTTGGTCAGTTATTTCACTGGATAGGAAGGTGATCTTTGCTTCATCATTCCTCCAAATGCATCTCTCCCAAAAGCTTCTCATACTCGAGAGAGAGGAGGACATGGCTTTGCTCAAGAGTCTATAAGAAACTCTACTTCTCTATAGCAGAATCTCCAAAAAAAAAAAAAAAAAAAAAAAATTTCTTTTTTGACTGCAATAAAGCAACAGAACCGACCAGAAGATCTAAGAATGATATCCAAGTTAGAGAGAGAGGGCAGGGCAGACTAGATGGTGCTGATCTTTATTGTCTCCCCACTCTGCAGATGTCCTAGTAAGTTAGCACTGACCAGGCATTGTGGTGCAAAGGCATTGCCACTAAGATGGAAAGGTGTAGGACCTCAAGAATCATATTAGTAAAGGAGCAAGACAAAAGGCTAAGGCAGAAGACAAGATGCAGAGACTAGATACTGGGAACACCGTCTCTGGATCCAGGGAGTAAAGTCAGTAATCCAGGAAAACTCTGGCAGCTGAGTACTTTAAGGAACGATGCCTCCCACTTCACAGTGAAAGCGTTAACATCACACATTACAACAATTCAGTTCACTGGAAACTACCTGAAAATACACTGAAATGATTAACTGTCAATCCTTTGTGTGGATCTTTACTAAACTGTATAAAGAAAAGTGAGCCATCAAAGATAAGTTAGGCAATTAAGAAAAACTAATAAAGTATATACAATAAGAACATTTATGTTGTAATAACATAGAAAAAGAGCTAATCAAATCAAGGTAGTTACTAAATAGGATAATTTATTGCTTTTCAAGATAATTTTCATAATAGATAATAGTACTATTCTGTACAGGAGATAACAGAGGACAAGAACATGGATGAAAGAATAGCCATTTGTAAATAACAGTAATACAAGATGCTTTTACTCTTATATGTGGAGAAATGCTATAATGTAGTAGTGTTGCTAACAGAATTTCTTTGATTTCTTTAATTTCAGATTAAGATTAGGAAGGACTTTTCAAAAATATTACTTCTTTTTGCTGCTGTTCTTTTTAGTATTTTAAAAATGGCTGCTTTGTAATGTTGTAATGATGTAATTGCTGCTTTGAAACAAATACTCATGACACAAATATGACATAA